ATTTTTTTTGTTTCATGGAAAATATATATATTTATCAGTATTATATATATATATATATATATATATATATATATTTATAATCAAAATAAAATTTAAAGTTACAAAATTATGTGTCAATTTTTACTATAAAGAACTATTTAAAAAAAAAATTGAATCTACGTTGAATGAAAAATGAAACAGTAAAAAACTTGTTTTTGAAGTATTTTACAAACTTAAACTTCATTTATTTTATCCTATTTTCGTACAATCAGGAAAAGAAATTTTTTAAAAAAAATGACCAGGATACAATAAATAAAAATTCATCACTGTGAATGGTATTAACGTTTCTGATAATGATGGGGAAAGAAAAGATTTAGAAAAATAAATATAGCACAGTTTCTTAAACTATATTTCTTCATATATATATATATATATATATATATATATATATATATATATATATATATATATATATATATAATAGGGCATATATATATAGAAGGATATGTGTGTGTGTTTGATTGAAGAATGTGTGTGTTGTGAATTTCAGTCGATAAAATATTTATATTATTTAACTTGAAAAAACTAAATACCCTTGAGAAAAGTATGAATCCTCTAGTTTTCTATAATCCAGATATGGGTTAAATAAAAGGCAGAGTTCTATAAAAATTGGATGTCAACTGGTCTAGGAGAAGGACATTATATGAATTATAAAACCTGCGGAGGGTCATGTTTGTAAATATTGAACATAAAGATATGCAAAGGCAGGTCTCTATTCGGCCCTTCAAAAATAATGCATATTCAGTTCTGCAAAACTATATTTCACCACTATAATCAAATGATATATAATGATGTCTGGGCTTGGATAGCGGCTTTGATTGAAGAATCTGAGCTCTTGACCAGTCATATTACATTCGAATACAACTGGAGAGTCCATTTTATATATATAGATATATATATATATATATATATATATATATATAGTTATAGATAAATGAAGACTCGTCGTTTAAAAAAACCCCAGTGAATTTTTGATTTGCTAATAATCAAATCAATCTCGAGGGAAAAAAATTTTCAAAAAGAAAGAGCTGTACAAACATGAACTTCTGCTTGACAAAAACATCGCACAGATGCAGGTCTGATATTTAAATGTAAATAAAAAACCTAGATAATTTTAAACAATCTTCAACAAAAGCGCTTCAATACAACCGTAGTTTAAAAAAGAAATCAGACCTAGAAACACCTAGCAACCAAATATATATATATATATATATATATATATATATATATATATATATATATATATATATATATATATAATGTACGCTTATCAGAGACTGTATAAAAGATATATATATATAGATAGCAGTAATACAAATATAAAATTTGTTACATAACTGATGGATGTTGTAATTACCACCCCGACGAGTTTCGTAGACGAACCTTTTTGTAAACGCCGGGTCCCCTCATCAGTACGTATCAACAATTATCTGCTGCTTTTCCCAAATTTGTTATTTTTATGTTAATTTGTAAAATAATTTATTCACCTTTTCACTGGTGTTAGATTTTTTTTTTCTGTGTGTGTGTGTGTGTGTTTGTGTATGTTTGCGTGTGTTTGTATACGCGTGCGTATTTGTGTGTTTCGGCCTGTACGTGTGTGTATGTGCACATGTGTAGAATATCTTCGTTATTCCCCCCCACCCACACACCCCAGCCTTTCTTAAGTTTCTTCTATCCTTATATTCTCTCACTATCTTTTTTTTTTCTTCTTTTTCCCCTCTTTCTGCTCTGAATGTCAAAAATAGCATAACAAGGTCATTTCCGGTGTCATAGACACGACTTTTCTTTAGGGTCATTTTCTCTAATATATAGATGATGATGATGATGATGATGATGGACATTCCCATCGATATCGACAGATGAGGATCTGATAACCTCATTCAGTTTTTTATGTTTATGCCGTATGTGACGCTTCAGTCTCGTTAATGACCTGCATACAAGTCCACATATTGTGCCACAGTGAGCGTCTCAGGATATAACAACAGGAACATTTGCTGACGCTTTTTGCTGTTCCCATTCATCTCTTAGCCGTTCAATACGACTGATTTCCAAATTTCTGATACCACTGTTACAAATATCTCCAGTTATTTCTACACACACACACACACACACACATATATATATATATATATATATATATATATATATATATATATATATATGATGGAATCTACCGTCGATTTCAGCATATGAGGATCGGAAAACGTCATTCAGTTTTTATGTTTGTGTCTAATGTGTCACTTCAGTTCTGCTAGTGACCTGCATACAAGTCCACATATTGTGCAACAGCGAGGATCTCATGACATATCCACACGAATATTTGCTGACGCTCTTCGCTGTTGTCTATCGTCTCTTAGCTGGTCAATATAATTGATTTTGACATTTCTGATATCAGTCTGGCACAAATATCTCCAGTTATTTCTATCCAGGGCAACTCGCTTAAAGTTAGTATGAGTTAGTCACAGCTAAGAGGTTACTCTTTAGCTTGTCTTTTTATCTGATCCACGACCGTCCAACTGACCTTTGTCCACTGTGAAGCTGGCTATACAGGATGACCTTAGGTATTCTGTCGTCACTCATCCTTGCATCATGACCAGCCGATCGAAGTTGTGACTGCACCAGGAACATCTCAATTCCACCAATGTTGCATTATGCGAGAAGATCAACATTGGACACTGCGTCGTCAAAAGTTTAGCCACAGATCGCGCCGAGGCAACTTTTGTAGAAGGCATTTTTAGGAGAAGTGTGGTCAAAACGGCTGCTCTATTTGTTGGTGTCCAATTTAATACCTCTCTCCTTTCATATGTGGGCGGGGGGTCGAAAAGTATAGCCAGAAATTCTGTGTATTTAGGTATCAAATGTTCTATAAGGCAAATATTATTAAAGGCAACAGACATTTCATGTCGATTAATTTCAGTTGCCTTGATTCCAGTATGGTATGATATGTTGGGCTACGGGATTTAGGAGTAAAGTTGAAAAAGTGTGACACACTGACATTCGTATCTATTATATAGATTATTATTATAATACTGGTAAGTTATGTATCCACATGAATTATATCATATGCATTTCAAGATAACTCCTGTGGTGAATGATATTTTATTTAATGTGGTCTGTTTATTTTGTATAATAATACTTTCTGGGTTTTTTTATCTTTCCTTGCATTGAGCACTGTAGAAGATTTTGGTGTCATCCACTACTATTTGTCTTATGGTAATAGTTGTACTTTAGTTGTTCATGATGTGCCGATCGATGGGTGCACAGATTGCACAAATTTCGACAGGTGACAGATCAATCTGCGAGAGAAGGACAGACTCTCGTCTCGGGAAACGGCTACCCGACCCCCTTTTTTTTTAGGGATCTACGGGGAATTTTTGGGCGAGCCTACGGACTCGGATGCCTCACATTAAAATCGGCCTTGTGCTACATCTGAACGCGTGGTACGGTTGGTAGATATCCTAGAGTTGGAGATTTATTGTGGAATTCACTTGACACACTTCTAGTAGTTGACTACTTCTACGCACCGCTGACGAATCTTATATGTGTTGTTCTTGTCCTAAGTATTATCGTTCATTACCAACTTTCATTTGATTATTCTATTCAGTAACCTTCCCTAAGTTTACAACAGTATATAATATTGTTTTTTTTATGAATAGTGCTAGAGATGCTATTGGTCAGGAGCGTTGAAAATTCATAGTCAACATTATTTTTATATGGACGGGATAAGGCCCGGTGTTGTTGGAAATATTTAAATTAAATGTTTTAAACTTATTGAGGTAGATAACAAATCTTAGGTCACGGTAAACGATTCCAGTTTTAACGATGCTGAATGATTTGAATGTCTGTTGGGACTCGGGTTTATTCCAGACCCCAGATTGAATAAACTGTTCGGCTCCTTGTATCATTTCAAGAAGTACCTGAGTGCTTCTGCCACGCTTTATCTTTACAAGAGTCAGATTAGACCAAAGAACGGAGTCTTGCTGCCATATCTGGACTGGAGCTGCACAATCTTCAGTCTGTTGTAACCTAGTGAAGGTTACTGAAAAGAATAATCACACGAAGGTTGGTAATGAACGATAATACTTAGGACAAGAACAGCGCATATAAGATTCGCCAGCGGCGCGTAGAAGATGTAGTCAATTGCTAAAAGTGAGTCAAGTGAATTCCACAATGAATCTTTAACTACAGACCAACATACAGTATTTACTACTGTATTTATGTTAATGTGGACATACAAATTATCGTCCGTGGGTATGCTAGAACACTGTCCAAAATCGTTTACGCAGTCTGGTGACAGAAAGACTTATTCTCCACTCTACAGCTTTATTGTACAGACGCTACTCTCTCGCTATTTCCACGGCTAATGTTCAGATTATTTCGAATCTTTTGTTCCACCAGGTCAGACCTTTGCAGCTCGAGTTGACCATTCGTATCACAGCCATTTCCTCTGTATTCCATTTGTAAGGTGGAGATTCAACTCAGAAGGCTTTTTTCTAAAGAAATGCTACTTTGTGGAACATACTTCCGCGTCGATTCTCTCCAAGTCAAATATCAATCGTTATCTCATACTCATAATATTTCCTTCTTTCTACCTTCTTTTACGTTTATATCGCACACTTCATTCAATAAACCTCTACCATGAGTGGCTCATGAGTCTTGTGTTGGGTGAACTTTTAAAAATGGTAGCAGCTGAAAATTCATATAAAGCTTCTTCGTTTCGTTTCCTTTTTTAAAGTTATTTATTTATTTATTTTATTTATTTATTTTATTTATTTATTTAATTTATTTATTTATTTAAAGTTATTTATTTATTTTTCTTCTTTTCGTCTCATTTCTTTTCTTTTTCGTCTTTACTCTTATCCTCCACAACAACAAAAATAAATAAATAAATAAATATCACCCCTCCCCTATTTTCCATATGCGGGTTTTCTTGCTGCCGGAAGTGACTCCGTAAACCTTAGCACTCGACGTTTCCACATCAGCGAGCAACCAAGGAGGAAGACGTATTTACCACTCAGTTCCCCCTCTCATCTATCCACCGATGCTTCTTCTACCTACACCCTAAATCCAAAATGGCGGTCTCTCTTTCAAGATCTCAGAACCGCCCAAAGAGCTTTCGAGAAATGCGGTCAGTGATGAGAATGGTCTCTGTCCGAAAATCTTCGTCTCTCCAAACCCTCCATTAACGATTCATTCTTTCACACGAGAAATGCTAATCGTTCGTCCAGTTGCGTGAAGCGGCTATCGAGATAAGCAAGCGGTGGGCTATAAATTTGGGGTGAACGGTAGGATTTTCATTTTTTTTGCCATGCTACACGCTTTAGCCGAACCGTTTAAATAAGGAAACAGGATTCTCAGTTGGGGTTTGTGATGCTTATCCCCAGGGCTAAGTTAAATCTTCTTTTTCTATGCGTTGCGTCTCACAGGCGATCATGGCTCTCCACAGCTTTCTATCTCTTGTTTCTCTTAGTAGTTCTTCTCTCTTTGTAAGCGTAGATTCTTTTGCGAAACTGTAGAGTCGGTGTTAATGTATGGTGCCACTGCTTGGACATTAACTAAAATCCTAGAGACTAAGCTTGATGGAAGCTACACTCGGATGCTGAGAGCTATACTTAATATCTCTAGGAGAGAACATCCAACTAGATCACAGCTCTATGGACCCAGCCCTGATATTTCTTAATCTACCGTGAACAAAGAATGCACTTTGTAGGACACTGCTGGCGAGAAAAAACAAGAGTGAGTGATCTATTGCTCTGGACACCTAGCCATAGCGGAAGACGGGTTTGTTGTCCACCATGGCGCAGGCAGGGGTTAAATCTGCCTCCCCCAGCAGCTTACAAGTCCCAGATGAATCAATAAAATCTTTTACATACCTCGGAAGCCAAATAAATTCTATGGAAAAGGATATGAAAATTCGCAGTGGATATTTTGGTAAAAGTAGCAGAACGTAGTTCGTCCTTCTGTTTCTCTTCGACTGACAAGCTGGCACTGGACATTCAGGTAGGGTAAACAAAATGGCTGCCTTTATACACAACGGAATGAATATTCTACGTCTTCTGATTGGTTAACCTTCTATTGGTGGACTATAAAGTGAGTCAAGTCATTTGGGTTAACTCACTAGTACATATATATACAAAAAAAACTACAACAAATTCGAGTCAAAAAGGATGTGTAAATTCGCATAGAGCAGCCTTGAATAATATTGACGTAATCTGGAAATCTTGTCTATCAGACAACCTCAGAGATACTTTCGGGCCACTGTAGAGGCGGTGTTAATGTATGGTGCCATTGCTTGGACATTGACTTAAACCCTAGAGTCTAAGCTCGATGGAAGCTACACTAGGATGCTGAGAGCTATGATTGACATCTCTTGGAGAGAACATCCAACTAAATCACAGCTCTATGGACCCAGCTCTGATATTTCTTAATCTTACGTGAACACAGAATGCACCTTGTAGGATACGGCTGGCGAAAAAAAAAAAGGAGTGAGTGATCTATTGCTCTGGACACCTAGCTATGGAGCAAGACGGGTTGTTGGTCACCCAGCAACCGTCTACATTAACCAGGTATGTTGTGACACAGGATGCTATCCTAATGACCTTCAGGCCTTGGTAGCAGGACCGTGTTGTATGGTGTGATAGACTTATGAAGGTCTGAGCAAGCTCGACCGAATTGAAAAAAATACATAAGCTCCCCCACCTTTCCGCCGTCAATTCACACAAGCTCTTCAAGTAAGTGACTCGCTACCTTCTTATATTTCTCTTGCCCTCAATATGACCCGGGTGGGTTAAGTCTATGTTCCTATTTTCTTGAAGACTTTCTTTTTGCTTACTCGCTCCATCCATCAAATTCTCAGTATCCTCCTGTAGAACAACATTTCTGCTGACTCTATTTTTCTCCTCATTCGTGGAGAAATTGTTCAACATCCACTGCCATATAGCGTCCTGGGTATGACGATGAACTACATCCGGCAGCAAGATCTCTGATCAGGAGATTAAAGGTTTTGAGGAGCGTGGAACCACTTCTTAATTGCCGTTGTTCCCAGGTTCACCCTGACCTGCGGTAGTAGCACCTGTTAGGATCCCAGCTATGGGAAAATAGTGACCCCCTCCTCCCCTCAAAAATCAACAATATATTTTTATGATAAAATGAACAACAACACATTCTAATAGAATTCTGAGACATTGTTAGTTATTAATAATTAACTAAAATCACTTTTAATGTAAGTTTAGTTACTATTAATAATAAATAGTAAAATAGAAAATTTGGATTTTGTATACAATAGAATGCTCAGAAAATTAATGTCCAAAAATCAAATATTTTCTATTAAAAGATTCATACTTACATTAATGTATAAACAAATAAATAAAGTTTACTATTTTCGTGGTGGATATTGCCTAACAGATATTCTGAGGTCTTGTTTACTGTTTTCCTTTGTATGAGTACACCTAACTTTGTGGGAAGTTAGAACAATAATGATTTAAAGCAAGTCCTCATATTTTTTTAATGAAATGGACACCACAGTAACATCCTAAATTTACATGATGGTTGCAAAATATAATTATTTATATTATCAAAGAAATTTCACGTTTTTATTCTAATTATAAAGATTTTTTTTTTAAGCATTTCACCCCAAGCAAGGCGGGAAGTCACTAGGACGCAAGGGGTTACAGAAAATTTAGAGCAAGATCAGATAGGAGTGATAGAAGAAAGGATGAGGGTAGTGGATAGATCAAGGCAACTGGAGATGTCGATTGACATTACACTTGAATAGCTGGAGATTATAGCTCACAGGGAAACAGGAATAGTGAAGGGAGTTCCACAGGCGAGAGGTGCGAGACATGAAGCTATTAGAGTAGAAGAGACGGCTACATTTAGGAGTTTCGACAGTGAAGGGGTGAGAGCGGGATGCCAGCCTCGTAGGGCGCTGGAACTCATGACGTTTGTTCGATTATTGCTATATTAGCGGTACTGTCAATAAACTATGTTTAATCGTTTATATTTTTACTATACAAAGAAAAACAATATATAGATGATGATAATAATAATAATAATAATATTTAGCCCAACTTTAATGAGATATTTAATGCTGTATGTTATTTGTAATTTGATTTAGAAGTTCATTTAAATATAGATTTAATAAAAGAGGTTTAATTGTTGGATTTACTCGCCCATTTCGCTCGGGACACGCCTAAAAGTTGGATAAAATTAGGTACCCCCAAAAATTCGTATACCTGAGGTAAATTTAATAAAAAGAGGTTCAATTTGGATTCATTCGCCCATGTTGCTATATATTTTAAAAAAAGTTGGATAAAATTGATTCTTGGTATCGAAAGGTATCTTTGTCCTCACAGAAAATTCTAATTTATTCTTAACATAAATAAAATTGAACTTTTATGCCAAATTTTCACCTGTCATTGAAAAGAAATTAGCGACATTTTGTTATTCTTAAATTCTCAACTAGTATTTTTTAACCTCTTCATTTTTGCTTTTAAATTTGTTAAATTCTGTGTGTGTGTGTGTGTGTGTGTGTGTGTGTGTGTGTGTGTGTGTGTGTGTGTGTGTAAGAAGAATGTTCAAAGTTTATATTTTCTGTCAAAAAGTTTATTTTGGGGGCGTAATAAAATTTTAAAACAATAAAAATATTTTTAGTTCATGAAAAAAACAATTCAAAAAGCAATGGCCACCAGCAATTAATACACTGAATTAAAGTTAGATTCTCAACACTTTAAAAAGTAAATTAGGATTTTATTCCAGGACAAGAAATACAATTAAGACCAACAATCAATTTTATCCCAAATTTCGGTAAATTTCCGAGTGGAATGGGCTAGAAAATCCAACGGTCTCTGTAGTACAATTGAAAGAAAGTTGTACTTCTACAAAGAAAGCAATTTAAAATTTCACATTACATTATAACATTATTTTAAATATGAAACAAAGATTGATAATAAAAAAATGTTATTAATTGATTTTTCTTTTTTCTTCTTCTGGAAACACGTTTTAAATTTCTTTAAAACAGGTAACAAAAAAAGGAATGTGCTTACATTTATGTTCATATCATATTTCTTTTGATTTTTTTAGTTTTTAGTCTGAAAGATATTGACTCTACGAGAATGAAAATGTAACTGTTTCAACCAAGAATCCTTTTTTAAGTCGTCTTTGATTTTATGGCATTCTATCTCCACCCTTTATATCTTTTGAACTTTCTTTTCACTGCCAGTTCACAGACAGGAAAAATCAAAATGAAAGAACTGATGCCAAAGTCTTGTCCTTCTCACATAGGTGTGAAAAAAACTTTGGGTTCGAGTAGGTACCAGAAGCCAAATATAGACCTTTTTAAAACTAAAATTAAAGTAAAACTATTTTATTTATTTTTAATATCTAATTTCAGGTGTATTTACTAAATAACAAAATGTTATCTTTATTCTTTTTTATCGGTGCCTTTGTCGCAACAAAATTAATAGACTCCATCGGATGTGCCCCCCCACTCCCAGGGAGGGCTGCCCGGAGGCATCTCCCCCTCCCACCACCACCACCACCTCCACTTTGCACTTTGGAAATATTTGATAATAATAAAATTAAATATATAAAAGTATTAGAACTTTCGTAATGTCATCGGACACTCGTTGTCATTTTCGTAAATGCTCGTTGTAGTAGAGACTTTGTAATCGCAGATACAACTATAGTAACGCCGTTGAACAATACTGGTGTCAGACGCCTTCGAATATCACTCGCGCTAATAGTACTTGTCCGATAATATTCGCTCAAATAATAATCTGTATAGTGATGCGAATTATCTACTTTTTCACCTTTTATTCTGTATTTAGATTCCTTATCTAAAGACTTAATTTTTTTATAACTGATTCATAGAACACGAACAATTTAAAGTGTTTAGTATTTACTAATTCCACAGCCTGTATTTTCATGATAGATTCAAAAAGGGTCGGTGCCATCACGACTTTTAGTCCAATTCCAGATCATAGTTTCTGTTTTGGAAATGTTTTGGGATGTCAACGAACATTAGTCGCCACTTTTGTGATGTCAACGAATACTCGTTGTCACTTTCGTAATGCTCGTTGTAGTAGAGACTTTGTAATCGCAGCTATAACTATAGTAACGCCGTTGAAC